CATTCCAAAGTTTATTGTGCCTTTCTTCACGGTTTCTCTCTATGAAAACTCATTTTTTTGGCTCAGTCGGTTCTTGCAAGATATTAAAATTTTCTTGAAAATTTTGATAATACACATCAAATGGATCATCTTCATCTCTTTGGTAGTGGAAATGATTTGAAGATGATGCCATGTTTTTATGAAGAAGAAGAGTAGAAGAGAATAAAAAGAAAAAAAACCTTTGTAAAATGTTAAAATGAAATTTAGTTGAAGTTGTGGGTAATGGCTTCTCTACTCGCTTGCATGTATATACAAAAAAATTTTTTTAATCTATTGCATAAAATCTTGGGTTGCCTGAATATTCCCCCTATACAAAATACATTCTCAATATGTCGACATGAACTTTTTGGGTCTTAATAAAACACCACAAATAAATTGTTTCTTAATAATACTACATAGACTTATGTTTTTATACTAATTCCTACACCTCCGATCAAAACCGATTATTTCTTTGCCTAAACCAAGATTAACCCATAAACCATGTTTACTGTACCATGATCTTGTTTACCTGATTAATCGGTAATCGTGGAGGTCCAGGAGGCAGCGTGGCGGCTCGTCGATAACTCCGTCGTGATCTTGCGGTAGTCCAGATGAGGATACATGATGGAATAAAGTAAAAGAAGAGGAACAGAGCTTTTGCCCAGTTGATGTCCATATGTGCTTTGGCCCAAAATGATGGAATACTAGGCAAAACCATCTAAATTATATCATAGATTCATAGTATAGAATTTCTATATATTAGAATTGTAGTTGACAAAAAGAATTGTGTATTAATTTTTTTGCAAATGTGCAAATTTCCAAATTTTATTAAAAAGATTTGTGTATTTTTTATGTTTTGCAAAGGGTAAACAGTCGCTACTTTTCTAGAAAAGTCAAAGATCCGGTTTGCAGTTAAACAGTCGCTATGCTGATGATAAGTGATTTGCCAACTTTGTAGTACCATAGAAGATTAAGAAATTAAGTAAAACCGTTTGAGTTTGTGTATTAAAGAGTTTAAGGTGGAAACATTCATTATGATTCGTAAATACTTTGAGCATATTCATTGTACTCGTATGACTCGTATCCTAATAGAGATTTAGAACCAGCTAAGGGCACATTATCAATGGTCTCTTAAGCAAATCTTAGATTAATATTTGTTAAGAAATAACTCTTTTAAAAAGACCATTGATAATGGTGGCCTAACCTACAATAATTAATCAGACTCCCAATCTTTTTTTGTTTATGGGTGTAAATGTTAATATCAAACACCCCGGTTGTTAGGTTCTATCATAGAACTTCTATATAACATAGAACATTGATCTCTACGGATTAACTGAGGTAGAGAGAGTTTTGTAGTTTTCTAAAGTTATTAATAGACACAAAATTTTCTTAAAAACAAAAATTTAAAATCCTTTGCCACCGACGGCAATCAGCCATAAACAATCGTTTATGAAATCTCGTATGTTTTAGCTAAAGTACAAAAGCTTATACATTTGTAAACTCCTGAATGATGACATAAAAATCATTTAAATTGTATATATTTTTGCATCGAATAAAAGCCAAATATAGTATTTACAATTACAATACTAGAATTTATCCCCTGATACATCACGGGTCCATTAATTTTTAACTTTTATGAGTCGGTTAAATGAGTTAGTACATTAAATTGAATGTGTTTCTTTGGTAGTTAATAGAAAAGTTACGATGTTATATATATGTTGTTGTATTTTCTAAATTTTAATGTACATATGCGGTTGGTTATTTATTTCTATATGTACGTGTATTTTTATGTATTTGTAATATATAATAACATTTAGGACTTACCTTGTGATACGGGACTATTTTTAATTTACTTTTTTATGTTTTTGTATTATATTTGTAGATTGAGTTTCTTTGATTTTTAATATACAAATACATTGTTTTTTTTTTCTGGAGCAAAAATGTTACATTGATAGACACAAAATTTTCTTAAAAACAAAAATTTAAAATCCTTTGCCACCGACGGCAATCAGCCACAAACAATCGTTTATGAAATCTCGTATGTTTTAGCTAAAGTACAAAAGCTTATACATTTGTAAACTCCTGAATGATGACATAAAAATCATTTAAATTGTATATATTGTTGCATGGAATAAAAGCCAAATATATTATTTACAATTAAAATATTAGAATTTATCCCCTGAAACACCACGGGTCCATTAATTTTTAACTTTTATGAGTCGGTTAAATGAGTTAGTACATTAAATTGAATGTGTTTGTTTGTTAGTTAATAGAAATGTTACGATGTTATATATATGTTGTTGTATTTTCTAAATTTTAATGTAGATATGCGGTTGGTTATTTATTTCTATATGTACGTGTATTTTTATGTATTTGTAATACATAATAACATTTAGGATTTACCTTGTGATACGGGACTATTTTTAATTTACTTTTTTATGATTTTGTATTATAATTGTAGATTGAGTTTCTTTGATTTTTAATATACAAATACATTGTTTTTTTTTTCTGGAGCAAAAATGTTACATTGATATATGGGATTGATAAATATATATAAATATATATAGGTAATTTTGCAATAATTTATTTTATGTGTTATTGAATATGTTTTTATTGAATTTGAGAGAACTATAAGTATGTGTATGTTTTACAAAAAACCTAATTTTGTAAAATAACTATATTTTTAACTTAGTAGTTAATAGTTAGTACAAATAATTACTGAATGTAACTATTTGTTTATCTAGACGCACATAGTAATATACTAATAAAAGACTACATAAAAAGTATAATCCATAAAAAAATATTGAGTAACTACCAAACAGTAAAATTTATCACAAGCTTAAACTTTTAAGATTCTTTTAAAATAAAATTTCCAATTGTTGTTGCAAGTGACAAATCTATATATATAATAGGAGACTTCTCTCTCCATCTAGGCTATCCACCTCAGCATCCACCTCATCAAGATTTTTTTTGTAAATTGTATATTTAAAATAATTATTTAATGCTTATTTATGTACACATAATTAATAGAAAAATTAATTAAACAGAAAATAATTAAACTAAATAAATGAAGTTAAAACCATACAAGAAATATTGTTAAAATGTTATTAGTAATAGTAATATAATTTAGCTTATAGCAGAATATATTTGAAAATGATCATACTTCCAATGATTTAATGCATTAATGAGATTTATAATGGAAAAAAATATAAATAGCATGGTAGAGTAAAAAAAATATCTGACTATATATATATTAAACCTATAAACAAGAAAATTTTAAAGTGAAATATTAGTTCCAAAATAATTAAAACAAATGTACTGTAATGGTCGCACTTTTTTGTGAAAACAGAAAAACTTGAATATATAAAAACATTTTGCACATTTTTTGGTGCAAAAAAGCTTGAAAATTTTAGAACATTATATTCCATCTTCTATAAATGTAAATAATCAATTGGTTATATTAATCTCGTGAGTTCTAAAACAATATATAGAAAAAGTGAATATATGAGCTCTTCATACTAAAAGGCTAATAGTTTTGACATTATGTAGATGTTACATATTTGTTTTTATTACGAGCAAGTCGTGCTCCATAAATGCCACTTATAATCTCCTTTTGAGTATCGTTTTCTCTTCTCACATATAAAGTTCAACCTTCTAAAAAAATGATTTACCAAAAACATGAAAAGAAAAAGTTGAAATACATTAAAATCTCAAATTGAGGTAAAAATAAAAAATTCATATTAAAAGAGAAATTCAAACTAACATTTTAAAATCTATCTTGGAAGACCGCCATATGAAATATGGTAAAGGCAAAATAAAGCATAATGCCTACGACAAAGGATTAAAAAATGCAAAATGGTGTCATCATCTTCCTTTGCTGGATTGAGCTCTCTTCATGCTTGAATATCCCGTCCAAATTAATCCGTCGATTATGGTGGTATCGTCCGACTAAATAAGTTTTATGCAGAGTAAACGAAAAATAGAAATATCGGATTCCATCGAGTAAAATAAAATTAAAAAAGTAAGCAAATTATCCAAATTTTAGACCGATTCTTAAATCAACCAAAAATAAATTTGTACACATCATATGGGCTTGGCAGGACATGTCATAAGTACATGCTCAATTGCAAAACATTTTAACAGAAACTACTACACTATGGGTTAATATTTAAAATTTCGAGATTCTCTATCGATAAAATCCAAATAGATAAAAAATAACCTAACAAACAGAGCACGTTCCATCTTTAATAATTTTTTTTACTCAAATTTAAAATTATGAAAATCGAAAAAACGAAAAAAGAGTAACAAATGGTTTATCGTCACACTTTCCTTTAAGTAAAGCTTTTAATCTCACAATATTAATACATGCGTCCAAACAAAGGAATAGCTAAAAGTATAAGACTATAATATCTGAATATGGAAATATACAAATCAAAATATAACCAAACAAATACGACACAAATGTACAACAATCATTAATCTTAAAAATATAACACCAAAAAAAAAAATTAATTAAGAAAAATTCATAGCAAACAACTCCGCGCAACGCGCGGGTCTCCTCTCTAGTACTCTTATAAATGCTCCACTTTTTGTTATAGTTTTCTTAAATTTTTGTATGGTTAACATAAATATTACATAATTTTATTTTTTTGTTACAACATAAATTAATAATATGTGGCTTATGTACATAGTTTTAGGTTATGTAATATTTCACTTCAAAATCATTGTTTTGGAAACTATTGATATGATTAAAGGGAAAAAAGCTTAAACATACATCATCTATTTTTTATTTGGACGTTTAATACTTGATATTTTTTTGTTAGAAGAATAATACCAAAGTAATAAAAACGTGTAATTTAATACCTAAACTATTAAATATTGACATTTTTCTACCTACGTTCTGTTAACAAAAAAAATATTCCAATTTTACCCTTCTTCATTTTTTTATTTTTTTATTTTTATTTTTTTTTGTAAACCAGTACTTATATTTAGATAGCTCATACTCCATTAATGAATGAGAAGGTACAAGAGAATAGTGCAGCCTTTGCCAAAGACTTTGTCTCAAGGTCTTTTACAAAAGATACAAAAAGAAACAACACATAGAAAAAGTTGGTACTACACTCTTGGATATATGCTAATATATCGTCGAGCTCGTATGCATGGCCAACGACATTGAAAAGAAACAGAAGTTCTTGACAATCCGCAAAAGAGGCCAGCCTTGATACACCCAATGCTAAAACCTCGCTGATCGCTGCTTTCAAAGCAAGTGACGCTATTACTAGAACAGAGAAAACAAAGGGTCCCGAAAATGATCCTTGCTGGATCAATACCTTAATCATATCCTTGATTGGTTGAGATTTTTTGTCACACAAGTCCTCTTTTGTGAAGCCTAAACCTTCACACAACCTGTCTTCAACAAAACGGAAACCAAAACTAGTGTTCGGGGCTAATACCTTAGCCACCAAACAAGTTAGAACTAAGCTAACAAAATCCTCAATACAAGGAACAATAGATTCACCACTAAGCCGATCCGAGACAAAAGGTGAACCATTCAAAGTTACACCAAAGGCAGGGATAAAAGTCTTCAAAGATTGGCTGCCATAATGCCTTCTGAAATGAGACAAAACATCCAATATAGCAAAGCTTTGAACAACCTTCCAACATCTAACATCCTCATATTGAGGTAATCGAAGTCGACAAACCCTCATATTGAGGTAAATGGGAACTAACAAAAGGTAGTTTTTAGACCATTGCACTACCGCCAAGAAGGTCACAAAAAACATACCTTTAGACGTCATAATGAAGGAGAAAGGAGGCAGTGAAAGTCGATACTGCCATCTACGGAGAGCATAAGTCTTGAACCTTGTACAAACGGAAGCCATGACGAAACCAGACCATAAGCTGCATACTACAGGAAAGGCCCGTGGGAGGGCCATATACGTGTCACTAGAGGACACGAAAGGTTGAACCAAACCCAACTACCCCAAAGAGTTCTCAGTAAGAACGAGGACGCAAATGAAGACGGTGAGACTTGCAGGGGAAGCGGAGGTGAAAAACACTGGTGGCTTGCAACTACTTTCGGGGGTCGTTTGCTTGAGACATAGCAGATGGTTGCAGAGATCTCCGAGAGACAAGTCAGAGAAAAATTCTGACGAGATCCAACACGAGCGGCTGGGAATGGAGGCAAGGATGTCGGATACACGTCGACAAAGCCGTCGGAACAGACCAACCCCCACGAGCAGCCTGACAAAGACTCAAACGTGAAGGCGTTGGGTGGATCTAAAATCGCCACGGAGGAGAGACTGAAATCGCTTTCACTCATCAGCGGAGAAACACCTTCAAAAGTCACTTTGGAAGGAGAATCCAAAGAGGACAAGCAAGAAGAAGACGCTTGTGAGAGTGACTGAGGGGAGCGGGGAGCAATGTAAGAATAGATGCTAAGGGACCAACCACCACCACAAGGAGGAGACATCGAAACCAAAAATAGAAGGAAGAGCAAGGACCAAAAACGAGATAGTACTGCAGTTCAAAAGGAATAACACGAACAAAGAATTAATTTGTCGATCCCTGTCTCACGGCCGGAGGCCGGAGGAAGGGACGACACAACAAGCGGCGGTGAGCGGAGGAAGGAGAAGAAGAGTGGAGGGAGAGATGCCTGCCGGAAAAGACGTAAGCTTGGTCGAGATTTTGTTGCAGCGGCTACCTTGGGAAATGTGTCTGAGAGGAAAAATTAGGGCGAACCTAGGTTAGAAGCTTTGTACCCTTTTACCCTTCTTCATTTATATTTATTATTAGTGCATAAATGACATGCAATTAATTACAATTTTATTAGAAAAAAATTATTTGCTAGTAATATTTCATTGTGTCATTAATTTATAGATTTAATTCAAAATATATATTTCATTTTTCATTTTTATCCAAAAAATATTTAGTGATTCAATGAAAGGTTTATTTTGAATTGTATGTTTCATATCCAAAATATATACTTCATTTTTATCCAAATATATATTTGAAGAAACAATATATATATTGAATTATAAATTTCATATCCAAAAATGATATGTATATTTCATTTTTCATTTTTATCTAAAACTTTTTAAAAGATCCAATGAAAGATATATTTTGAATTATATATTTTATATCCAAAAATTGTATTCTATTTTTATCCAAAACTTTTAAGAGACCAACGAAAAATATATTTTGAATTTCATATCTAAAAATGAATATTGAAGTATGAAATATATAGGAAAAAGACAAAAAAATACGTCATCTATTTTTTTATTTTGACGTTTAATACCCTATCTATTTTGATTGGAATAAAAATATCTCTTTTATTTAACGGTATCTTAAAAAATATTCGTTTATATACAGTACTCGTTAGTAGATTCCTACCTTACAGTTAACAGTCGTTTACCCGGTTGACGGAATTGTTTAACAGAGTTAAACTTTAAATCCACGTTGTTAAATGATAGTTAATAGTTAGATGATGTTTCAGTGTGATAAAAAAAACAAAGAAAGAACCGAAGAAATTTTTTTAAAAAAGAGCCAGCAAGTGTTAGAAATATAGAGAATTGATATACAAACCATTTCCAAAAACTCCAATGTTCAAGAGCTGAGTCAATTACCGTAAAAAAGTATAGATGAGTATTAAAAAGTAGAGATCATCATTAAATAATAATATAGAGTAAGATAAATTTGTCATATAGAATTATTTTTGGAGTAATTCTTGGGTTCATCCCTATAGTTAATATTCTAGTTGATTTCTTATTACTCTAACCAATAAAAACAGAGTATTATGGCATGTCAGATAATATTTAAAAATAATTAAAAAGAAACAAATTATGGAAACAAAATATGTATACATATAATCACTATTTTATAACCTCAAACAGATATATAATTTAGTTTTAATTGTAAAATCTAAACTCTAACCACTCCTTTATAAATCCAAACCAACATACACTTTCGTTTTAGATCATAAAAATCCAATAACAACACTCCAAATCAGCGCATTTTTAAAAATAGAGTATTATGGCATGTCATATAATATTTTAATAATTAAAACGAAACAAATTATGGAAAAAATATGTATACATATAACCACTATTTTATAAACTCAAACAGATATATAATTTCGTTTTAATTGTAAAATCTAAACCCTAATACAGAGGAAGAAGACGAAGGAGTAGAAGAAGCACGACTCGGAGGACAAAATCGGCTAGTCTCAGAAGGTAAAGATTCCCAATTTCTTGGAGGAAGGTATGGCTCATCCACTTTAAGCTTCTCCATAAGCGAAACGAGGTTCGTCGCCACTACAGGCATTGTTATTACCTCTCCACTATATGTATTTGTTTTTTTCTGTATATAATAAAATAAGATGTAATTTATTTTTCTGTATTTGTAAGTTTTTCTAGACAATACTTTGAAATTAATTATAATCTTTACACCAGGCTAACAATTATAAGCCTCGGCTGTAAGATAACAAAACAACTATACTGGCATCAAAATGGAGGGTCAATGATTTTCAGGAATTGATAGAATGTCAGTAATAACTATCAGAATTCTATACAATACAACCCTTTATGTAAAGACAAACACGCCATTAGAACACATAAAAACACGCCTTTGGTTCTGTACATTATACACATAAAACTCATATACATTCTACACAATCCAGGTCAGGAACTAAAGAGAAATCTAAAAAAAATAAAGATGAGCTCAAAATTTGAGAAAATTCACTCTAAGAAAGAAGAATACATAACTAACACAAAACACATTGTCTCTCTATTCATATAGATCTGAGGGAAGTGAAAACACGTACATGTTCTGTTATGATCTCTCAACAAAACGAAACAGACTTAACGTATCTGATTCCAGAAAAAAAAGCTGTCCAAGTTTCTTCTAGCTGTGTCAACAAAAGAAGAAGAATTTCATAAGTGAAACAAACTGCATAAACCAAAGATTAGCAGCATTGTAAACCCTACTCTAATGACCTCAACATTGTAAGTAAATCAGTAGCAGCAGTACTAAAAGACCAGCTAAGCACAAGGAAATCAAAATATGTCCAAGCCATCACAGTGAACCTAATTACGAAGAAACATGTCTGAATTTGACACTTTAGTACCACTTAAGAAACTCCACTACTTCTTCTTCTACCGTAATAATAGAGCTACTCCTAGTCTTCTCCCAACTCTCCAAAACTAGCTAATTTCCCTAAAAGCTAAGAGTTACAGTAACCAAAAAAACTCAGAGATTTGCATCAGCTATCACGTTTCATTTAGAATCGATCTTGCGATTTCAAAAACACAGAGCGGAATAGAGTGTTCTGCGTTCACAATCTAAAACCCACTTTGAAATCGACGATATCAAGCTCAATTCTTGAACAGCAATGGCGGAACTGAGACAAAGATCTTTGGCTCCACAGTAAAGAGAGGGAAAGAACCTGAATCAAAGAGCAAGTGACCAGCAATGGCGGAATCGAGTTTTTGTTCATAATCTAAAACCCCACTATGAAATCGATCATGTCAAAAACAGGTCCGAATAATCTATTAGAAACAACGGGTTACGGATAAACGATGCGTTTTTTTTTCAACAGAAGAGACTCAACTGAACCAAGAGGTGGGAACATTGTTTACATAGTGACAAAGTAGCGGTTCAACACGCGCACGACGTGCCAACTTATTCACTTGAACATTAGAACAACCAGAGGCTTTAACTAAGGAGAAAGAGGAAAACAATTCCCTATCTGCTTGGATCTCCTTGAGGTATGTCACGAATGCATGCCAGTCTGTTGGGGAAGACACCATCTCCACCAAATCCGAGCAGTCTGTAATAAACTTCACTTTACTCCGGAATGCCGTCGGCAATGACGATAAAGCCCATACTTGTAGTGCTGGCGGACATTGGAAGAGTGCATGATTAACCGAATCAAGCTCCCCACATCTACTGCAACTTGGATCACAATTTAACCCTCTACTAGCTAGATTTTTGTCTACCGAAATACATCCACTAACAACCTGCCATATAAAATGTCGTAATTTGGGCGGACAATCAATTTTCCACACAAATGCATGTAATTTATATATATTCGGGCCGAGTCGGCTATCAGTCCTAGTTTTCTGGAATACTCTCGACCAGTATAATAACCTGATTTAACCATATGTTTACCTGTTTTGGTAAAATACCAATACATCGAATCAGAATCCTGCAAAAACCTTAACGGGATTGCACTTATTAAGGAGACATCCTCTGGACTAAACAAGGCCTGAAGCATAGTCATCTTCCAAGAGCATGTCTGAGAATCAATCAAAGAATTGACTTTAAGAGTTAAAACTGATTCATTAAATGAATCAGTACGGAGGGCTGGCCTCGGGAGTTGAGCTAGTATCCATGGATCTTCCCAAACTGAAATGATTTCTCCATTACCAACTCTTTTAATAAGTCCTTTACTAACCAGAGGTCGAGCAGAGACAATACTACGCCATCCATAAGATGGAGAATATGATTTTATCAGACCCATTGGTTCTGATTTCAGATAATACCTTCCTTTAAAGCAATCTGTTACACTTATCAAGCGCTAATGTTGTTTAGCCAATAATTCCGTATTGAAATCCTCAATATTCCGCAAGCCTAGTCCACCCACAGATTTACTAGTACATACTTTTTCCCAAGCAAACCAATGCATCCCTCGTGAGAGACCATTAGAACTGCACCAATATTTCGCAACCGCACTGGTAAGCTTATTTGTAACTGTCTTGGGTAGCCAAAAACATGGCATTACATAGGTAGGCAATGCTGCTGCTACCGATTTTATCATCACTTCCTTACCACCTTTTGACAACAACTTAGCTGACCAGCCATTAATCCTCGATTGGAGCCTATCCTGAACAAAAGCAAAAACTTTTGTTTTCGACCCTCCCAAAATTTTTGGTGACCCCAAGTAGGATCTCATACCACCTAAATTTGTGATCCCTAGAACTTCCATTAGCTCCATTTTTTAAACCATTGTCAACAATGTGACCAAATTGTATTGAAGATTTTTGAAAATTTATTTGTTGTCCCGGAACTTTCTCGTACTGCTTTAAAATCCCTAAAATCACATCACATTGATCCCTTTTAGCTTGACAGAAAAACAAACTATCATCCACAAATAATAGGTGTGAAATTGCAGGGCTTGCTCGATGAGTTTTTACCTGTTTTAACATCTCTCTAGTTTCAACGGCAAAGGCTTTTCGGAATCGATAAAGACTATACTGTTTTGAAATATATATATAATATTTTTGTTCTTTTTAAAATATTTTTTAAGAAATGCATTTTGATGTATCTCTTTTCAAAAATACTCATTTTATCTATCCGTTTTAAAAAAATATCACTGTTTAAATATTAAAAAAAATTAAAGTTTTATATGGTTTATTAGTATTAAGCCCGTACTACGTACAAGTCAAAAATAATTTCATAAAAATATAGTAATTAAGGGGGATGTATTCAAAGTGGAATTTCAACAAATAATGTGTTATTTAATCATGGATTTTTAAAAGTCTCATGAAATCCAGTGTTATTGAACTAATCATCTTTAAATTCATTGTTATTGAAAACCCTTTGTGGATTTGATTTTAAATGATTTCAGAGGATTTCAGAGAACTTCTTTAGTTAAAAATACAAAAATCCAAATCTCATAGTTTAAGGTGGGATTTGAAAGAATTTACAATAAATCATATGAAGTTCCCTAAAATCATCAAAATCTCAATAAAACTCAAATCTCTTAAAATGCTACTTTGAATACACCCCCCTAAGTTTAAAATAGTAATCAAAAGTTCAGAGTAAAGAATTATTCAACCTACAATTTCTAATAATAAATAGCTTATGAACATTGATCAACCTTATACCTTGAATGATACAGATCACATAATATCCAAAATTTATGTTATACCAAACCCTAATGAGAAATGAAGTCCTCTCCCACCTATAAATAAATGATTTGGTCCATCACAAAATATCATGAGCAAAAACAACACTTAAAGGAAAGGGTTTATAGGAGTGGAGAGAGAAACTTTATTTTCCACTTACAAGATCTAAGAGTTTCTTTTCAAGACTACAAGCCATTGATCAAGAAAGCTTCAAAGAAAAATTAAAGAAAGCTTCAAGGAATACCAATAAAGAAAGCATCATTTCTACAATGAGTGGAGGTATTACTTTACAATTCTATTATGTGATTAATATAGATGTTTAAGTTCTTAGGGTTCATGTTAAAGTATGGTTATGAACATCTAATTAATCCATTACGAATAATAGATCTATGGTTTAAAGTACTGAAAATTAGAACCACAATATATGATGACTGTAGACTTACATTTGTTTAACTTTCGGTTTTTGAAAGAAAATTTTAAAAGTGATAAGAAATTGGTTTATTTTAATGTGCATAAATAAGAAATTGGTTTATTTTAATGTGCGTAAATAAGAAATTGAAATCACCAGAATAGGTTTTATCATATAATGATTTGCACCTAAAAACAATAGCTAGCAATGTTAAAACTTTTCTTCCAGATGTAGAAAAAGCTAAGGCTTATCTAGCAGCTCTAGAAGAACGGTTTAAGATTGCAAACAAATCCTTTGCAGGGAAACTTATGGCAGATCAGACAACCATAAAGTATGATGGGACAAGGTCTATGCATGAACGTTGCATTGAAGTTCAACACCACTTAGGTATTTTCCCTTCATGTTCTTCAATTTTTTGGTAGTGTTTAAAAACTTTGCCACCTCCATGTTTTTGATTAAGACCATCCAATATTTTTCTTTCCACTGTAAACTTGCTGAATACACCACTTGAATCACGCCATCTTGCAGCAACACCGTCTAGAAGTAACTCGATCAAAGTTCTGGTTTCTTGTGGACACCATTGACTATATGGATTTTTTTCTCGATCTTGCTCTCAATCGCTCATTGTTTCTTTTTTTTTCTTGTTTAAAAAGTTTTTTGCTACATTAAAACTAAACAAAAAAGTTCTTTAATATAGTGTTTTTCTTTACCTAAAAGTTCTTAAAAAAAAATGGTGATTTTACAATTCTTTGATTAAAAATTTGGAAATTTTACAATTTCTTGACTCACAAAAAAATTTGTAATATATACACTTTCTCTACGGACATTCCTATCTTTTTCCAATTCAAATTTTTGGTTTGAAAAAAGTAAAATGTACATAAAACAAAAGTTACCGTACTTAATTAAACGTAAAATTTACGTAACTAAACATGTAAAATATACATATAGTAAAAATACATAACTATATATACATATAAGAACAAACTGGTACTTTTCCATTACTAATAAAAAAAAGAAGGATCGAGCACCATTAATAAATTTGTATGTGTCTTTTCATAAATTTTTATGTTAGTTATGCTTAACCCACGTCTCCAACTTTATGTTGCTTGATATTTTTATTATCATGTCATTTACAAGTGGATTACAAAAGTGGTGTATTATCATGTCAATCAAAATAATTTTCAATCAAGCAACATATAGCTTTATGTTAGTTATGCTTAACCCAGGTCTCCACGTTGTGATTTTTTATTATCATGTGTCCTTTACGAGTTACTTTTCTGTTGCAATTGAAAGAAAAGCTTAACTTGCATGAAAGAAAAGCTTTAAGAGTTATGTTTTTTTGTTTCTTACAGGTGTAAACCATCAAACATGGATAATGCCCATCATTATGATCTAGAAGTCTTTGAAGAAAGAGAAAGAAATGGATTGCATGATGACGAGTTGGATGCTGATATTTTGTTGTTGGTGCTCTTGATTATCTTTCGGATGTTGTATTTGAGAAAGTGCCTACGACATGGATTACAATATTCTTTTCGACGTGCGATCACAAGAGACGGTGAAATCTATATAGAAAATGTGCAAAAGCAAAAACCTTCCCATTTTCGACAGTTGTATCAAATGTATCCAGAAATATTTTTGAAGTTATGTGTATATCTCCGGGAGCAGACAAGTTTATGCGATACAAGATATATTACTGTTGAAGTAATGGTAGCAACTTTTCTTCTTGTAGTTGGCCAAAATTTCAGGTATTGTCATACAAAAGACACTTTTAATAGGTCAACGTTCGCAACAAGCGTGAACTTTCACAAAGTTTTGAGGGCTCTAAATCAAATTGCTCCAAGTTTAATGGCTAAGCTTGAGATTGCAGTGCCTCAAAAATTAGAGAGAGTACGAGATTTTATTCGTATTTTAAGGTATATCTTTCAAATAGTTATGTCTTTGACTCTTTTCTTTTTCATCATCTTTCATGAAATATAATTTTATTATTGTTTATATAGGATTGTGTTGGAGCTATTGATGGTACGCATATCCTTGCATGGTACCAAAGAAAAAAGCACCGTCTTTTCGAAACAGAAAAGGTGATGTGTCGCAAAATGTGTTGGCTGCTTGTAGTTTTGATCTCGAGTACATGTATGTGCTTAGGGGATGGGAAGGTTCAGCTCATACCTCAAAAGTATTAAATGATGTGTTGACAAGAAACACTAATCAACTACCAGTTCCAGAAAGTACATACATGTGTTTCTATTGTAAATTTGTGTTTACTCAACAAGACAAGTGACTATATTATGTATTTCAAGAATATTTTATGTTGTAGATTTTGGATTTCCATATCGTCGAAATTTTTAAGCTCCTTATCGTGGTGTTAGATATCATCTACAAGAATTTTCTGGTCAAAATTCACAACCAGCGGATGCAAAATTCCCTTATGATTTTCAAATCCACGTTATTTGACTTTAAAATCCATATTATTTGACTTTCAAATCCACATTGTTTGATTTTAAAATCAATGGATTCCATGTGGATTTACAAATCTTATAAGGATTTCCAAATCCTTCAAAATCAATGATCCAATAACTCCCCCTAAGTTTCTGTAAGCAAACTTGATTTGGCTGGTTTTAAATCTACTCAAGGAGATGGTTGTTATAATATATTCTTGAACTCTAATCGAATTGGTTCTGGAATATTAGTTGATAGTCTCTATATGTTAAAATTGGCTGATCAACCTTATGAGACACATCTCTCCTTGCATACTGAAAGTAGACTTAAATATAAAACATGTACTAATAACTCATATTTCTTGTGGCATAAAAAATAGGACATATTTCCTATGAAAGAATTAAACGATTAGTAAAAGATTGAATCATTCTGAATCGTGACTATACCAATATAAAAGAGTGTATAGATTGCATGAAGGGAAGCAAACTAAACACACTAAGAAAAGAGCCACAAGAAGTACACAGCTTCTTGAAATCATACAAATAGATATTTGCGTATCCTTTGATGTTCTAAATTTTGGAGGTGAAAAATATTTGATTACCTTTATTGATGATTATTCACGTTATTGTTATCTCTATTTATTGCATGAAAAATCTGAATCTGTGGATGTTCTACAAGCATTCATTACTGAACTTGAGAGGCAATTAGATAGAAAAGTGAAAATCATAAGATCAGATAGAGGTGGTGAATTTTATGGCAAATATGATGAAATAGGACAACATCCTGGACCATTTGTCATACTTCTCCAAAAATTAAGAATCGTTGCGCAATATACAACGCCTTGTTCTCCATGGCAGAAAGGTGTAGCTGAAAGGCGTAATCTTACTTATATGGAATTGGTTAGATCCATGATGAGTCATGCTAACCTACCTATATCCTTGTGGATGGACGTATTATGTACTACGATCTATATCTTAAACTAGAGTTCCCAGCAAAGCAGTCCCTAAGACCCCTTTTGAATTGTGGAGAGGTTGGAAACCTAATCTGTCACATCTCCATGTTTGGGGATGTTCAGCTGAAATGAGAATATACAATCCACATGAAAAGAAATTAGATTTCAGAACGATCAGTGGTTTCTTTATAGGTTACTGATAAACATCACATTTACAGCTTTATTAAGGTTTTTATTATCCTTTTTATCATGTTTCAATTGTATTTCATTGTGTTATGTTGCATTTAGTGTTTAAGTGAGTCTTCTTCTCTTTTAGAAATCATATAGTGTCTTTGAGTGTTTTTAGTGTGTTTTGGGTGTCTTTTAAGTCATCTCAGGTTAAAATAATAGAAGACACATGTTTGAATGCAAAGAGGAGAATCGATGATGCAGATCCAGTCCGAGGTGCCTTAAAGATCGAATGAGATGAAGGCTTTAACTTGTAATTTAGCTTTGAAGCTCTGAACAAAAGTGATAGGAAATCAAAATATTTATCCCCTGCAGAGAAAGAAATAATGATAAAAACAGTTGCACTAACTCTACCAGTCTATACTATGTCTTATTTAAGATACCCTCTAGTGTAAATTTTACTTCTAAGATCCGACCAATAATGTTGCTTATAATTTCTGAAATATACTCTCTATTATCACAAATTTGGTGGTGGTCAAAGAATATAGATAAGAAAGGAATTCACGTGGTAGCATGGAAGCGTATGCAATTTTCTAAAAAAGACGGTGGCCTTGGATTTCGAGATTTAGAAAAATTCAATGAAGACTTGCAAAACAAGCTTGGTGTATTATCCATTATCCCACATCTCTATATGCATGGTGTAGAGACACGAAATATGCAATTGCTATGTCAGCGAGTAGCAATCACACATGGTTTTGATACAAAATGAAGTCATTTATTAATGGAGTGGTTGAAAATTCTATCAAGAATTTTGGGGAGAAATAGGGGAGAGATTGAAGAAGACAGAGGATGATGTAAAAGAACTCAAGGAATCAATATCATCTTTTACATCGACTTCAACACATGTCGATCCATCATCAGTTCAACTAGATTTGACACATATGACTTTATTTTTTTTGTCATTTTAAGACTTAATGGTATTCAAATGGGTAGAACTAGTCTCTTGTTTCTCTGGTTTTTTCCATGAAAGTTTCCTCCTTTCTAATTACTAGCTAGATTTGAAAGAGAGAATATTTATGTTTTGTCATTTTTATATTTAATGTTGTTCAAATGTGTAGAACTACGTTGGATTTAACACGGAGAGGGTAATAATCTTTTAATTTTTAGTTATATCATTATCATTTATAAAAGACTAATGGTAGTTAGCGTCTCTTGTTTCTCTGGATTCTTAATAGCTATTGCTACTGTGTAAAATGTGTTTGATTGATGGAGATGGCTAATTCCTTTTTCATTCACCTACTTTATATATATTTAGTACTTTCTCGTAAAACATTTATTTCTTCAAATTTCAGAAATTTACAATGGGAGATCAAAGAACAAATACTCAAGGTAAAAAAAAAGCGGTAAGTATATATAGTTAAACGCTTGCGAAAAGATTGAAAAAAAGAAGCAGGTGACTAATTATTATTATTTTGTTGATAATGAAATAGGTGGGTTCATCTACCTCTTAGTTTCTGAGGTACAAAAATGTGTTTTTTCATATTATAATTTTGGAGTCTTGTGAAAGGGTCAAGGAAATCAACATAAGGAATAAATTTAAAGTTGATGAATTTTATCATTTATTAGAGGGGTTTTATAATATACAATCACAGCAATCCTTGTAATGTGTATACATTAATGTTTTCATGATATTTTATTTATCATTTGATTGATAACATATTGTTGGAACATCTTAACGAGTCACATGATTCATCTCATTTCTTCATACATGAGAAAACCGATACACACCTACCCCTTTCAGCTAGCCACCTATTCGTTGGGGTTAAGAAAAATAAATCTATCATAACTATAAGTCAATCTAGTAATTATTTTTGCGTCAAAAAATTGGTCACGTTACGACAAATGTTTTGTGGCCTACAAAAAAATGTAACCACTAGAATCCAAAATTTTTTTCATATAGTTAAAAAATCTGGGGTTACCTCGATAATAAATCTGTAGGATTAAATTAATATGTTGTAACACAATAAAATAAATCTGTCAAACAAAAAAACTCTGCCATATGAGTAATGGTCTAGGCAATTTGAAGGATTTAATTGGCGAGTGTGCTTTCAATGATAATCGAGATAATTCTCAATTTGGTGTAATGTTGATGTTGGGTTAGAGTGGCTACATATGGTGTGGTAAGGCAGTTCATATTTCCTATCGCATTAGTTGTCAATAGAACTATGAGATATGATCTTTGATAGAAGGTTATCCTTTGAGGTTTTCTCTACATGAATATGAAGAAATTAATGATTTAAACTGTGATCTTATTGATGAAGAAGATAATGCAAATGTTGATCATAAGGACTTTTGGGGAGAAATGCAAGTTGATGCAGGGTGGGGCCAAACTAGACAAAGTTACCTAAGGCGTTGGATAAATGTAGGGGATGGAATTATGAAAAGAGAAAATGCTTGGACTGTTGTATGTTTTGATGAAATTTATGGCATGGATTGAGTAATTGTATTGTATGTATGATAAAATTTGAGTGGTTAGCAATTAGGGTTCATAGATTTGGGAATTTAAGATTTTCAGATTTGTTTGGGGATCTTGATTATATTGTTGAACTTGTTAATTGTTTGTATCAAAATTATGATTGTGACGTTAATGAGACACGTTTGTTTGTAAAAGTGAAGGTTTTGGGGATTTATGATTTGAATTACTCATTGTTTTGACGAAATTAACCTCAGTTTTTGTGAGGTTAAATTGGAGATCCATGGAGTTCATACGCAATAGGCGAATGAAAATACATTGGCTGATGCAAATCACGGCTGTGCCTTCAAGAATCCAGGTATGTTTTGTTGAAATTCGATTGTTTATGTAAAATGAGGGATACAAAATTTGCTAGGATTGGTTTGCTTCTAAGTTGGTTTAATGTTTTTTTTTTAATTTGGCACTGTGGCTATAGAAGTGTTTGTATTGTCTGTTTTGATTGATTTGGCTCATATTGTATATGTTGTTGTGTTGATTGATTTGGTTAGTTATAAACTATATGATTGTGGCTGTTTTGTATCGATTGTGTTGAGGTTTAGGGCTATGTATAAGTATCGATTGTGTAGAAGTATTGGATTGTGTAGAAGTTTATGGTTGTTGCTGTGAAGAATGTATTGAATGCTTTGTTTCTCTTTGGTTTAGTGTGAATTGTAATTTTCAGTAGGTGTACTTGTTGTTGTGTATCTTGATTTGCTTATTTTGAAACTATATGGTTGTGGCTATTTTGAATGGATTGTGTAGAAGTATATGGTTATGGCTGTGAAGAATGTATGAATGCTTTGTCTCTGTTTGGTTTAGTAAGAATTGTAACTATCAATAGGTGTACTTGTTGTTGTGTATCTTGATTTGGTTAGTTTTAAACTATAGAGTTGTGGCTGTTTTGTATGGATTGTGTATAAGTATATGGTTGTGGCTGTGTAGAATGTGTTGAATGCTTTGTCTCTCTTTGGTTTAGTGTAAATTATAACTGTCAGTAGGTGTACTTGTTGTTGTGTATCTTGATTTGGTTAGTTTTAAACCATATGGTTGTGGCTGTTTTGTATGGATTCTGTAGAAGTATGTGGTTGTGGCTGGGAAGAATGTACTGAATGCTTTGTCTCTATTTGGTTTAGTGTGAATTGTAACTATCCATATGTGTACTTGTTG